GACCTCACATTTTTCACAAAAGCTTTTAGAGTTCCATTGATGAATTTGGTGATCTTGATAGTGAGTCCATGGTGTGCATTCATCAAATGTAAAATCCATTGAACTTTTTCCTCTCATAAGTTCATGTTTTTAGCATTTATAAGTGTTGTAGTTTTAAATTTACAGAAGTTTTATTGATCTTAAAATCCTCATTGGATCATCTTTGTCATCATACTTATTCATAGTGTGGTCCTCATCATTTATAGCCTATATACATAAGAATCCATGATCATGCATAGTATCATTTGATTATTTTGTTTCAAATCCATCAAATACCTTAGTCTCAGTGTGTCACTAAATTTCCAGAAGTTTCTCATCACGTTTTTAGTTATAGGGGTTATAAACTTTTCATACAAGATTTGTTTTGGCGGTCCGAGGGGCTACCGTACGTAATTTGGCCATAACTCTCTTGATTTTGATCCGATTTGATTCAAACATTCTGTTTTGGATGACAATACCAATGTGTTGAGATCTTAAGAATTGATGTTAAGGTGTATAATTGCTTCCCATTTGGATTAAACACTCTCGCCAATCCAAAGGGATAAAAATAAGTCCTTATAGGGCTCGATTGCGGGGCCCCGGCACAAGGGGTTTGACACATGGTTTCCCGATCTTAATTTATCATTCTAATTCCTTGTTTAGTTGGTTTTATTCCCTAGAATTTGTTTGGAGCAGTTGTATGCTGTATTTAAGCTTTGCGACATAATTTCAGTAATTTGTGATATGAGAGTGTAATTCATAAACTAGTCTTACTTTATATGTAATTGCCCCATAAGGGGTTGGTATTTGAGTTTATTTACAATAGTTTTACAAGGATAAAAATCGTTATGATTGTTATTTAAAGGACTGTAACCTACTCATTTGACTTGGTTTTAAGCAGGTGGCTTGGTGAAAGTGTCAATTTTGACTTGTTTCTAAGCTTGGAAATTTTCTCTAGTCTTTGTAGCCACTATCACACTCTTAAACAAAAATTTATCCCTTTTCAAGCAACTCTATGAAATTTCTGCCCTTTTCAAGCAACTCTTGGAACACATGGGATATAAATAAATTCAAAAAAGAAAAATATATACTCATTCTTCCTGAATTAGACAGTAGAAACAAAAAAAAAATAAAGGGGAGGTAAAAAAAAATAGCAGGAAGGTTTTTTTGTGGCGGACTAAGTTGTGGCCTTTTCTGCCTGTAGGTCCCTTGTCCCTGTATTTTTGCAATGCTCTCGCCACAAAGCTATTTCTTACCATGGTTGAATTTTTCGCGCCGAGTCTCGCTTCCACTATCCGCAGTCTTGGCCCCCTCAACTTTTCAACCTTGGCTTACTCTACTCAATTGGGAAACCCTTAAAAAGGCCCTCAAACCCATTTCTCTCTCTTTCACCCTCTCTCCAACCAACCCACCGAACCTCCTTTTCTCTAACCCCACCACAACTCCCCATATACTCATATACACCTATTCTCCACCCTCTCTCTCTCTCTTTTGCCTCCTCTTTATTTCTCTCACCTTCTTCTTTACAACATTCTCTGAACTTTATTTCCCTTTGCTACCCTTCTCCTCCTTCCCCCTCTCGTTTCTTAGCTAACCAGAGAATGCTCTTCGCAGCATAATCTCTCTTCTCCCCTCCTCTACTATCTCCCTCTCTCCCTTCTTCTCTTACATGAAATCCGATGATTGCTTACTACAATCGAGGCTACCTCACCCCATCTTATTCCTCCAAGCTCTTCACTCTCTCCTTTATTTTCTCCATAACTTTGTATCCTACTGCTAGCCGTCTTCAAACTGTACCGAGTGATTTATGGTGGATCTTCTCCCTCAATAGTTACCTCTGCAGTGTGATGGTTTATAGGGCCAGTTCTAGATAGTTACGAAACAGAGGTGAAGGGCTATTGTGGGGTAAAGTGTTAGTGGAAGCCTCTCACCAATAGCCGGACCCCCTTTTTTTAGCACCATTATATTTTTGTTTATTCTCTATCTTACACCTTCGCCCTCTTTTCCTCACCAACACAACCTCAACATTCTCCTTCGACATGTTTTGCCATCAAGCTAAGGAAGCATATCACCATGTCGGCCACCTCAACATTCTCCTTCAACATGCTTTTCCATCAAGCTAAGGAAGCATATCACCATGTTGGCTAAGCTGCTTCAATTGCAAGGAAAGGTAGACTTTCATAAAGTTGGCTGCTTAGCTCACACCAACGCAGTCAGAAGCTGAAGGCTTTTTGGATTCTCTACCAGTCATTAGCAATGGCTCTATATTTTGGATAATTCTTGAATGATTATATTTTCTTACATCTTTGCTTTTTCTTTTTAAATTTGTAGCTCTCCCTCTTTCTCCTTCTTCTCCCTTTACTTATGTTTGTCTAAGCACCCAACTTGTGGGAGTGTCATCTTTAGTTTTTCAGCTTAATGTATTCTTTTTATTTAAAACAAAGTCAACCTTTTTCAAAAAAAATATATACTCATTCTCATCACAAATAAATTTTAACTTTTTAAAAAAAATATCTTCATACCTAAAGACAATATAATGGTTTATTAATTTTCTCAAATTTGGTCCCTTTAATTTTTGTCATTTTAAGAATATTTCATTGAATGCTATTAGTTTTTCATATATTACTTAAAATATAATTATCTGAGTTTTGAATAATGTGTGGTTCACAATATAACAATAAACTTGAATTTACAAAACTCCACAAGTATTATTTTGTTTAACAATTGGTCGTTAGTATTATTTTAGAATCATATCTGATTTTTTTCATAATGAATAACAAGTGCCCAAAATTGCATGAAAAATATAATTTTACTCATCAAAATTAAAACAAGCTATTGTTCATGCCGTATTTTTGAAAATAAAATTTTATCGAAAGGGCAATACAAATTAGAAACTATAATTTCTACAATAAAAAACAGTTATCAATTTATAATCTATAAAATTCAAACTCTACATTTCTTTTTTTGATAACATTCTAAAACCAACACTTATGAGTGAGTGTTTTCCCCAATTTCTTTATGAAAGGTTTTGATATCAATCTATTTGTTTTACATATGTCAGAACATAGTTAAGACTAGGACATATCCCACTCAATTAGATGGTATACCTAATGCAAGAGTAAGGTAAGAGTAGGTAGCCTACAAAACTTAAGGTGGTATAAGGGAACTAGAAACATAGGATTAGCAATTATAAAGGAGTCAGAAATTTTAGACAATAGACATCACTATAACCTTTTCCCTAGTATCTATATTCAAACAACACAAAAATTGGATTGTCACTTTTAAATCCTAGGACATTATTTTCGAGGGACATATAGTGTGCGATTTTCCTTTCTAGAAGAACTCTAGATAGGATTCTATTAGACATTAAGCTCATGGTCATGGCGTTATAATGATCTGGCATACAGAAAACGACTCGTAGGAACCATGTGGTAATGAAAATCTCTAGGGAGATTCAAAAGATTGAAGCTGATACTGTATAAATTATAGCTAGAAAGTCTTAGCACAATCATCGTTAACCAAGATTGTAGAAGAAAAAATATTATACAAGTTATATAGTCATAATATTATGTGAATTATATAGTCATAATCACTACCATCTTCATCACCGTACAATAAATGGTTGGAGATGATAGAGAGGAGTGGTTTACATGATATACTCAACTAGTTAATTTTTGCATATTTGCCCTCAATTCATCACCATCCATGGCAGCTGATAACCTCATTATCATGGGGTCATGATGACCATATAAATCATATAAAGCATAAGATAACTCAGAGAAACTGCTTAGTGTTGATGTGTATGTCTACCTCTAATACCATAAGCACATATGAACATGAACTGGCATAAAAATAAAAAATTTATGCTGTAATTTCCCTTCCTATTCTGAATTGCAATTTACAAATCAAACCTCATAAAAACTAAACTCACACAAATACTACTATGCGATTGTATCTCTCTTATTTTACCTTTAAATCATCACCAACAATGCTCGTCTTCCTGCTAGTGTTTAGTAAATCTCTCATTTACTTTGTCCCTTTCAATTATACAATCAATGGCACTATGTGACCTACATGGGTTTTACCTTTTTTCCATCAAAAGAAATCATTGCCACCTTTCTGAATGCTTTGAACCACACAAGGAAGAATTCATGACGATGATAAATATACTTAACATCCTATTTACACCTATTCTTGACTTAACCAACTCAAGAAAAACAAAATATTCAACAAATGCGTTCTTCAATCTCTCATGGTTTACAATAATCAATAACTACTGAATTTGCTTGTAGTGGTAACTGTGACCATTGCTATATGGCTACAAGATGGAGGAAACTGGCCCTAAAGGGTTACTAAAATTTTGAAAAATAGAAACATTGAATCTGAGGAAACACCAACTGTTATAAAGTCCTGACTTTCTCCAAATTCCAAATCTTAAGACCATATTCCGCTCAGAGAAAACAAAGATATATATTATTCTGCAATTTGAAAATTAGTGGAAAGATGAGGAACCACAAGAAACAACATTCCAATAATTTACCCAAAAAATGATATTGCAATATGAATCACATGGATTCCATTGCATTGCACATGACTTAAACAATGAACCTTATGTTGCTGAACAAAACAATTCAATATTAAGACAAACAAACAAATCATATTATTTTTAAGTTTAAGAATCGCCCATATCCACTTGTTACATGGAAATTAACATGACCAGGAAAATGTCCAAGGGATCATTCTAATAAATAGACCTTCTGGTTTAAGATGTTGTCTTCAACAAATTATATACATATTTTTTTTAAGTTTAATAATCACCCATATCCACTTGTTACATGGAAATTAACGTGACCAGGAAAATGTCCAAGGGACCATTATAATAAATAGACCTTCTGGTTAAGATGGAACAGTTAACAATGAATCTGATTGACATTTCAAAAACAATAATGAATCCAATTGTACACATAAACAGCCTACCTCACCTTTCTTGAAGATTTTGGTCAGACACCTTTGAAATATCACCTTTCCTATTTGAAGATCTCCAAAATAAAGGTTCCAAAATAACCCGTAGCTGCAAAAAAAAAATTCCAGTATGTGCATCAACAAATCTATATTACAGAATATTACAGAAGTAGTATATGTGAAGGAAATAATGCATCACATTGTCAAGTCATCTCAAAATAATAATAACAACAACAACAACATGATGACAACAACAACAACTACTACAACAAGGACGAGGAGAAGAAGGAGAAAAGAAGAGAAGGAGGAGAAAACGAGGAAGAAGGAAGAAGATGAGAACAAGAAAAGAGAATGAGAAAGAGAAAGAGTAGAAGGAGAAAGAGAAGGAGTAGAAGGAGAAAGAGAAGGACAGTGATAATGATGATGATGATGATGATGATTATGATTATGATGATGACGCCTCTGATTATGAACAACATCATTTGAAATCCTATGGAACATTCATATCAGTGGCATCAATCATAATCAACAATCATAAATCCATGAAGGTCGCAAAGCTACACGTTCTTAGGTTTTAAGATCGTGGCAACTTAAGAAACATGCGCCCCAAATGCATGAGACTTGGGTAATAGCCTGAATCTTCTCCATCAAAAGGCAGCTTAAAGTCCTCAAGCTAAGAACTATTTTGCTCCTAAAAGAAAGGACAACTCATTGTCAAACTTGCTTCTACAAATAAGCCATGATTTGATAAACATGAGTAACAAAATGGAGAAGAATGAAATTCAAATATTCTTATATAGAATTAAAAATTCTAACAACACGGAAAGGAAGAGAGATGTGAAAAAATTCATGGACTAGGCAAAGAGGCCAAACCATCATCATCACCGTTAAAAGCTTTTTCCCAACTATTTGGGGTAAGCAACGAAGGGTAAGCAAATAAAGGGAGTGAGTGAGAGGGAGATGAAAAGAGTGAAAGGTGGACAATGTGATCAAGCCCAGTATATACAGTTAAATTCTTTCTTTCTTTTGTTCATACCAGCTAGAACACTTATAGGTGTCTAACATTACAATTTTATTAACACAATAAACCCTAATACAATCTAGGATCATCTCTTGCATGCCATAACAATTCTTTATAATCATACAAAAAAGCAATGCATGAAGAATCAAGAAACATGGAGCCATTAGAATTACCGAATACCTTGCCTCAGGTTAACAAGGACTTCGTATACCCTACAATGGGTCACCTCCACCAATAACACACATGATCTTGGTCCTAAACTTGTGTCATAATTTGGAAGCTTAGGCAAAACCGCATGACAGTATCACATGGGATGGAAGAAACACAATCTCAAAGCACAAGCTTAAACAACACCTCAATGGCTTGGGCATGCCACCCCTTATGACTAGGGTGTGGCCCTTCGGGTTTCCACTAGGCTTAGTGTAATCAAAACCCTAAATTAGAATGAGAATAAGAGAGAGCGAGAGAGTGATGCGTACTAAAGATGTATAAATACCAAGTCCAAGTGACACAACAAAAACCTTCTCTTGATTTCAAGACAACTAAATTTTACATCATCAAAAACAATTCCAGCCACTAAACTTGGCCTCTAATATACTTTTAAAACAACAAAAGACTCTAATTGGTCCCTTGCCATAGTCCATGACACAATATACATTAAGAAGATTGATTGAGCACTTCATCATACACATGATCTAAAAATACAGCGATATACAAATACATTGGCCAAGTATACACAACCTTGGAATTTATACATTTTAAATTCAAACTCCTTTCTCCACCAAAAACAAGTAGTGCGCGTGTGGATAGAATTGGAACATGGGAAGCTGATCATAGAGCTCATTTTGCTTGTTTACAGCCTTGGGTCTAACCATATGCCATGGGAGGACTTCCTATGGTATAATCACATAAGCCAATAGCAACATCAAATAGGGAAGCCTTTAAGCATCATATCATCTACACTTTTATAGCACATTTTAACATATAAGAGGGCTTAACAAAATAGATTTAAAACCATGGGAAAAAGTGGGAGAAACATGAGGCACAAATCAGTCTCAATGTGGTAAGAAAATCAATAGCATAAGCATGGAGATTAAAATATAAATCTTCCTTCCAAAATCTCACCAAAATAATCAATTCGATAGTGAATCAATCTACTGATATACACTTGAAACATGGAAGAATTTGCAGAGATCAAATGATCAAAACAAATGGGCAAACCATGGGAGAAATCATGGCTCTTAAAACACAAAATCAGTTAATAGAGTTCATAAATCGAGCTACATAAATTCGGCATAATCTCCTCTTATAAAAACACCAATTTGAACCATCAAAATGAAGATCTAATTGACTGATTTGTTGGTAAAAATCTCAGAGAAATATTAGTAAAAAATGCTCTAAACTCACATAAAAAAAAAACTCATGGAAATTTGATCAATTTGTGCATGGATGATGCATTGAACTATATGGATCAAAGGGCATCAAAGTAAATCATAGAAATCAATTATTTAACATCAAATGGATGAAGGAAGCATGTTGTAATTAAGAATTTAGAACAAGGAGAATTAATTGGAATCGAAGAAAATTGATGAGATATTACTGAATTGATGAAGGCCTTAATAGTAGATCATCCATGGCTTGAATTTGACCTCTGAATCACCATTAATGGAGCCTTCATAGAGTTTCTATAGAGCTTTCTCTCACATCACCTTCATGCACTTTGGAAGAGAGAAAGGGAGAGGAGATAGCCTTAGTGTGCCACAATAGAGGGCTTAGAGTGAGAGAGAGTGGTGTGCCACTATAGTGAGAGAAAGGGTGAACTCAAGTGTAGAGATTTTTTTTTTTTTTTTGAGTAAGGTTAACTTTTATATTGCTAAGAGAAGTTGGGATACAGATGTGTGATAGTCCGAGAGAACCCTCTAGACGGGTCTCACGGTACAAAAAATGGTTAGTAGACCCTATACAAAATGTGGGCTTATAAGCCTGCCCAATTACAAAAGATTTGCAGTAGGTTCACCAAAACATTGGGCTTATAGAATAGCCCGATAACAATGAGAAGTTCTACATTGTGTGTATTCCTTGGTCCTGATCAAAAAAGGAGATGGACCGGGTCTTCTTCTTGGGTCCTAGCCCAGTCTTTCGCCAAGAGATCGGTGAACTCGTTGCATGTCCTCCAGCTATGCTTCCATGAGACGTGTGTGTCCCTGCAAATGTAAGCAATTTCATCAAAGATCGAAGCTAGGTAACATGGAGGTGGTGTCGTCCCGGTTGCCCAAGATATAAATATTATGTGTGTCTCCTTCCACCAAAAGGTGTGAGCCCCAGGAATGGTTGAAGCTTTTGAGACCAAACAGCAAGGCCATGGCTTCGGTGTAATGAGAATCTCTGTGAACTAGATGTTCAAAATACGTGAAGAGGATATTGCGATGGTGGTCTCTAAAGACACCTCCAGCTCCTATAGGGCCGGGGTTCCCCAGGGAACATCCATTGAAATTGAGCTTGATGGTGCCCTCCGGAGGTGGCAGCCAATTGTGAAGAGGATATTGCGATGAATAGGTGAAGAGGATATTGCGATGAATAGGTGAAGAGGATATTGCGATGGTGGTCTCTAAAGACACCTCCGGCTCAAGTGTAGAGATTTAAAGAGGTATTTATAATGTTGAGTGTAGAGATGCTTTAGATGTGCTTTAATCTTGACCATCGAAGTCCAACATCCATGGCAACAAAGAGAGGCTTGATTCTAGCCCACCATCCACCATCATGTATTTTGATGTGTGGTATGGATTTAACACCCTTATCCTCCATTTTGATAACCATAATTCACTCCAATTTCCCTTGTATTAAAATACATATGCTCATTACATTTAATTTCACTGAAAATCAAGTTAGAGGGCATACCCTTGAGATAATTTATCAAAATTCCAGCAAAAATTAAAATTTCAAAACTTCCCTCCATTTTATGAGAGCATGTAGGGCCAATCAAATCATGCCACATAAACTAGGAGGTTAAATGCACAATTACTATATACCCTTAGGGTTTAGCTTTTAATTACAAACACTATACCCCTTTTATAAGAGCTCACACAACATTGAACTTATGCCAAAATTAATTTTCAAAATTTCCAAAATTGCACAAAATCCAATATTATAAAAAATACCCCAACATAACAAATTACACAATGACCTACAAGGGCACCAAGAGGAATGACATCACCTCCACGTCTTCTCCATGTGGGGCAGATGTGGAGGCCCCCATGGCCCCACGTGGACACCCATTGGCCATTTGCGTGTCTCGTGTGGATCCCAGGGGATCTGTCCTTAATCATCTTTTTGCAAAATCAATTCTAGAAAACACTTTTTCTTGCTCAGAAAAATCAAGAAAATTTCTCAAAAATCACTAAAAATCATTTTAACCAGTTTCCATAAAAATAAACCACTTTCACAATATTTAAAAAATATTTCGAAAGGAAATTACAATTCTATAGAGTTGAATTAGGAATCATTGCACTCTACTTGGTTAGACCGAGAATCAAAAGCCACCTTCTTAGTATGACCCAACAAACTCATAATCCACAGTGTATAATCAGAAGCTCATGATATTAGCCTATTAAAGTCAAATCAATGAGTGACCCTAAATCCTCAAGTACTAGTAGATCTTAGGTGCATCCCATAAAGGACATGCACAAACAAGGTGCGGGAGTTCCTCTCTTAGCATATGTGCATCCCTCTTCTAAGTGGATTCCTGAAAGAGTCAGCTTCCCATGATATGCGACTGTTTATGCACATGCTATGAGAAGATTCTAAGAGTTAAGGATTTAGGCCAAGGTCCTCTGTTAGCCCTAACCTTCCCATACGGAGCTAATCATCGAGCTCACATCATCATACACAAACTCACATTGCCCTAGCCCAATCATCCAGTCATAAGGCCCAATCGAGCTCCATAATAATAACAATAACCGACCCTGACTAGAGGCAACCCTGAAACCTCTCGATCCCTCTCATATATACACCAATCCTCCTCATGACTGTCCTAAGGTTTCCATGACTCTTGGTCCCAGTGCACCAAGATCCTAGAATCATTTTACTCC